CTAATGTGAGATCTAACATATTTAAGATTTGTGTTACAGAAATGTTACAAAATGTACTATTCCTCATTATTAATTGATTTAATCTTAGTTTGGTTTTGTACTCATTATATACATACTTTCTTTCTTTCTTTTTTTTTTTGGTACCAGGGATTGAACCCAGGGGTGTGTAATCCCTTAACCACATCCCCAGCCCTTTTTTATATTGTTATTTAGAGACAGGGTCTTGTTAAGTTTCTTAGGCCTCACCAAGTTGCTGAAGCTGGCTTTAAACTCACAATCTTCCTGCCTCAGCCTTCCAAGCCACTGGGATTACAGGCGTGCCCCTTTTACTTTTTCATTTAGTTAGTGTATCAGCTAATTCTGCACACATTGGCAAGCCCTAGACTGCTGGAAAGTAGAAGGATAGTTAGTAGAACTGGAAAATTTTTGTTGAAGAACTGAATTGACTAAAAAGAAAAATGCAGTCTTATAGACATTCTGGATATAGAAAATTCTAGACAAAAAGTCATAGTAAGTAAAAGGAGAATCTAGGAAGAAGAGACTGTGACAGAAGAGCCAGCTTGACTAGAACAGGACATGTAATCCATATGCTTTGGTCCAAGAAGATGGAACAAATTAATGGGCTATACAGTATGGAGTTTAAAAATATTATTATATGTATTAGTTTGCTTAGGTCGTCCTAACAGATACCACAGATTGAGGGTTTAAACAACAGGAATTTATTTTCTCACAGTTCTGAAGGCTAGAAGTTCAGAGATCAAGAGGTTAGTGAGATTATTTCTTCTGCAGCCTCTTTTCTTGATTTGCAAAAGGCTAATCTTCCATTATATGTATCTATGTCCTAATCTCTTCTCTCTTTTTGGGGGTGGGGGATTTACCAGCGATTGAATCCAGGGGCACTTAACCACTGATCCACATTCCCACCCTTTCTTGTATATTATTTAGAGACAGGGTCTCAGTGAGTTGCTTGGAGCCTTGCTAAATTGCTGAGGCTGTCTTTGAACTTGCAATGCTCCTGCCTCAGCCTCCTGGGCCACTGGGATTACAGGCATGTGTCTCTGCTCCTGGCTAATCTTCTAGGGACAACAGTTTTACTGGATTAAGCCTACCCTAATGATCGCATTTAACCATGATTAATCATTTTAAAGACCCTATTTCCCCAACAGTCATATGGAGAGGTTCTGGAGCTTAGGACGTATAAATCTGGGAGAAGATACAGTTCAATCCATAACATAGAAAATTGAAAAATTAGGCAAAGATGTAAAGATATTTTTGATAATACTGACCAGTAGAATTTTCTGTCATGATCACATGTTCTGTATCTTTGCTGTCTATTATCTATCCACTAATCATGTATGGCTACTGTGCCAAGGGAAACTGAGAAGCCAAATTTTAACTTCATTTAATTTTGAGTAATTTAAATTTAAATGGCCATATGTAGCTAGTAGCTAAAATTGAGGAAAATGCCGATTTTGACTAATTTATTTGACATGAATAATTGAGAATCAAAGTGATTGAGAGATGAGTCTAAGGTCACAGAGACAATTATTGGAATATTTTTTTACAACACTTTCATAAATACTTAATGGATTTTACTACTATAAACCATAAAATAAAATCTAGAGAATAAAATATTAAAACACCCTCATTTTTGTTCTTTCTCCTGCTATAGACATGTGGTGATCTATCTTACTTCATGTAATTATGTAATTTTGTCATGGATTTTAGAAATAAGTCATGTAATTTTTTCTTTTTAATTTTTAAAGAAGTTTGATATTTGCATGTAGCAAGTGTTTAAATTAGTTCAATAAGATTTCAACTGTCAGATTGAAGAGTCCATTTAAATAACACATAAATAAGGGAAAAACTGGCAGGTGGTTTTTTAGGGGAAAAAATCTGTAATTCATATAGAGCAAATAAATAGATACATGCTAAATCATTCCACAGAGGAATAATGGGAAGTGTTTTCTTTTTGAAGACAGAAATGGGTTTTTATTTTAGCAGCTAAGTTTATTGTTTTATTCTGTTCATGTTTTGAGGAGATTGTCTCACATTGTAAACTTTAAGAACATTTTTAACTTTATTTTGAACTAACTTTAGACAAAAACTCTGCAGAGTCCTCATATACCCTTCATCTAGCTTTCCTTAATGCTAACATTTTACATGACCATAATGTAATTGTCAAACTCAGGAAATTAGCATTGATGCAATACTACTAACTAAACCTCAGTCTTCACCAGTGTTCTTTCTCTGGTCTAGGAACCTATCCAGGATCCCACATTAAATTTGTTATTTATTCTCAATTTCCTCCTTTCTGTTCTTCAATCTTACTTTTCTTTTATTTGCATTACAGTTTTTGAAGAGTTTTTAAATTTTTTTTTGTAGATGGACATAATACCGTTATTTTATTTATTTTTTTTTAATGTGGTGCTGAGAAGCAAACCCAGTGCCTCACACGTGAAAGGCAAGTGCTCTGCCACTGAGCCACAATCCCAGCCCCAGTTTTTGAAGAGTTTTGATGAGTGATTGCATCACTATAGTATGCTGATTTTTTAAAATTTGTTTTAATTAGTTATACATGACAGTAGAATGCACTTATATACTTTGATACATAGATGGGATATAATTTCTCATTTTTCTGAGTATACATATTATAGAATCACATTGGTCATACAGTCACATACATACATACAGTGATAATGTCTGTTTCATTTTGCTATTTTTCTTATCCCCACATCCCCTGCCTTCCCCTCCTTTCACTTCCTTCTACCTAATCTAAGGTAACGTATTTTTTTTCTTTGCATTACAATTCTTAATACAAGTAAATACCTCACTTTTTGTATTTCTGTTTGTATATATAAAGTATGTTGACACCCAATTCAAGTTTTCATATATGTACTTTATATAATGATGTCCATCACATTCCACCATCCTTGTTACTAGTATGCTGATTTTAAATCCTTTCTTTATATACTAGGAGTATCATAACTGGGTCATGTGGTGGTTCCATTCCTAGATTTTTGAGGAATCTTCATACCACTTTTCAGGGTAGTTGTACTAATTTGTAGTCCCACCAGCAACTTATGAGTGTACCCTTTCCCCACATCCTCACCAACCCTCTTTGTTACTTCAATGAATAACAAGAATATTATCAGTTGTATTCTTGATAATTGCCATTCTGCCTGGAGTGAGATGAAATATCAGTGTAGTTTTAATTTGCATTTCTCTAATTGCTAGAGATGTTGAACATTTTTTTCATATATTTGTTGACCATTTGTTTTTGTTTTTGTTTTGTTTGAGAAGTGTCTGTTAAGTTCCTTTGCCCATTTATTGATTGGGTTATTAGTTTTTTTGATGTTAAGTTTTTAAACTCTTTATATGTCCTGGATATTAGTGCCCTATCTGAGAAGCTAGTGGCAAAGATTTTTTTCCCATTGTGTAGGTTCTCCATTTACACTCTTGATTATTTCCTTTACTGTGAGGAAGATTTTTAATTTGATGTGATTCCACTTATTGATTTTTAATTTTACTTCTTGTGCTTAGAAGTCTTGTTAAGGAAGTCAGTTCCTGAGCCAATATGTTAGAATGTTGGGCCTACATTTTCTTCTCATATATGCAGGGTTTCTGGTCTAGTTTCTAGGTCTTTGATCCACTTTGAGTCGAGTTTTCTGCAGGGTGAAAGATAGGGTGATGCTGATATTTCTTAAAACTGGTGATAAGCTTTAGAAATCTTGATGATGGAAGCTGCTTTATTTTTTGTTGTTGTTGTTGTATAATACATATTAAAGTTCCTATATTAGTCCATCAAAATATACCCATGATGAAAATGACTTCTCAAACACAAAAATAGTGATTAAAGAAAGCTGTGTCAACAATTATTTAATGGGATGAGGTTAATCGAATTTTACAACAGAAATAAACTCTTCAATAATGAGAAAAGGAAGCAAACTTCTATCAAATGAGGCAGTTCTTTCATCATTGGAAAGTTAAGAAAGGAATTATCAAGAGAGGAGTCTTCCCAACTAATAGGATTTTCTTTGTAATAGGAAATGGTCTTGGTTGAGATATTTAACTCTAGGTAACTTATCAAGTAGACTATTAAATAAAGAAAAGGAATTGTTTAGGTTCCCCCACACACACCTTGGTGATACTGGGGCTTGAACCCAGAGTACTCCACCGCTGAGTCACATCCCCAATCCTTTTTTATTTTTCAAAATTGATTGGGTTATTAGTTTGTTTGTTTTGGTGTTAAGCTTTTTAAGCTCTTTGTATATCCTGGATATTAAAATTGATTGGGTTTTAACAACAGGGTCTTGCTAAGTTGCTGAGTCTGGCCTTGAATTTGTGATTCTCCTGCCTTAGCCTGCTGAGTTATTGGAATTACAGACATATACCTCTGCATACAGCTGGGAATTGCTTTTGTGTTCTATATGTAACTGTGGAATTATATCAGAAATCTAGTCATTAGAATCAATACTAGGTCTAGTTTATCATATGAAATCATTTTATTGCAATACATTTTTATTTTGATATTTTAAAATTCCAAAAGGATATCAATCAAATCTTTAACAATTTCATAAGAAATAGTACGTTGCATACCCTAAACTTTATTGGCATTTAAGCATCCTCATATGTTTAATTAACAAATGAAATTATACTTCAGGCTTTGAGGCTCTTTAAAAACATAGAACATCATTAGATTTTGTTTTTAAGTTTGTTTATTTATTTTTGGAAATAAGTATTTGGATATTCCTCATAGATGAATGGGGTAGATACTGCATCTGTTATAATGAAGGGAATGTAGTCCATGTTATGCCCAGTGCATTGGTATGTTTTATATTTCTTCATTTGTAAAGTTTTCTTCATTAGAAATGTGTCAGTGAAGTACTTGTGTTTTTATTGTTTTAGGATTGTCTTTGCAAACATTATTTAAACTCTAAGCCAAATGCTGTCCCTTCAGAAACAATATGAAGTGTAACAGAATTTTGCTTTTATTTTAGTTCAGCAATCAGCAAACACTGGGAGGCTGAACTGGCTACACTCAAAGGAAATAATGCCAAACTCACTGCAGCCCTGTTGGAGTCCACTGCCAATGTGAAACAATGGAAACAGCAACTTGCTGCATATCAAGAGGAAGCAGAACGTCTGCACAAGCGAGTAAGTTCAGGGCTGCTGTCCATAGGGATTTAGAAATAACAGGTGTCCTTGATCAGAGGAAATGTGCGTGTAGATTCAGCATAGGGACATCTTCTGTGGATATTCATTCATTGTCAGAACATACATGGGTTGTATTTTGTAGGTTTGTTTGGTTTAAAAAATACTTTCCATAGTTTAATGAGAATGAAGATTATCCAAGTTTGGAAGTCATATGAACTGATTGCAAATTGCAGTTTTGCTATGTGACTTTTGGTAAGTGATTTTTTTCTATTAGCTCAGTATTTTTATTAGTAAAATAGGAATGATACTCCATAATTCATGTGAAGGTTAATTAAGATATCTAATTGGCATGTAGTTGCACCAAGTCAAATATATATTTTAGTTGGGCATAGTGGTATATAACTATAGTCTAAGGAGGAGGCTCACCCAGGACTTTAAAGCCAGCCTGGATAACATAAAAAGACCTATCCCCAAACAATAGTAAAAAACATATCTATTACAATTCCTATGAAAATTAATTGAGATACTTAAGTGACATGCAGTTTCACTCAGTGAGTCGCAATGGATCAATGAACTACTTTTGTTGTTTTCTTTTTATTGTTGTTTTTCAAGAAAGAACAATTTGAAAAATATAGGTAGATAATTCTTCATAAAAACTGGTCATGTTAGAGACTTGAGGCAGAAAAAGAAAATCAGAAATCTCAATATCATTAATATTTGAAATCCAAACAATTACTCATAAAGAATTTTTGTATTCAAGGCATAGAAATGCATATATTCTCAACAAGAAACAAATGGCACTATTTTCTGTTTTTTAAAAGGGTGCCATATATGCAAACTCCATTAGACAATATGGAATGAGCTTAGTAGTAGTACAATGTAAGGAGTCTACAGGACTAAAATAACAAGGAAATAAGAAGAAATGGAATAGAGACAAGGAGAGAGAATTAGAAACCTGAGTAGATGTCGTCCTCTCCTATGTATAAACATAAACTTATGAGCAAGGATGTAGAAAGGGAAGATATTTAATGGGTATATACTTTAGATTTACAAGATGTAAAAGTTCTAGAGATCTGTTTTATAGCAATGTGAATATTCTTAAAACACTACTGAACTATACACTTTAAAATTATTAAGATGATAAATTTTGGTATGCATAAATATATATATTTAGTTGTAGTTGGACACAATACCTTTATTTTATTTATTTATTTTTATGTGGTGCTGAGGATTGAACCCAGAGCCTCACACATGCTAGGCAAGTACTCTACCGCTAAGCCACAACCCAGCCCTAGTATGCTTTTTGACACAATAAAAAACTAACTTATAACAATTAGGTTATAGGCAATAAATATTTATTGTCTCCTTATTGTGTAGTCCCTGCCCTTAAAGTTTTTTCGCTTTTGTCAATTGAATATTAAAGAATTTAAGAAAAGAAATAATCTTTTTATTTACCCATGTATTTATAATTTCCAATGATGTTCTTTCCTTTCTTTAGATATGAATTTCCATCAAGTATAGTATCCTAGCAGCCTAAGTACCTTTTTTTAGTGATTTTTTTTTTTTTTTAACTGCAGGTATACTGGCAACAAATGATATCAGGTTTTATCCAGTCAGATTTTTGTCTTTGACTATAGGTTGCATCTCCCTATTTTTTAACATACATAGTCATTTTTAGTTATATTGGACAGTATACATGAAGTATTGCAGAGATAATAGATTCTGTTATTTTCCTTTGAAGAGCATTGATATTTTTATATCACCAGGCAGTTAAATTACCTGTGGGTTAACTTGAAGTTATAGAATAGTGGACTTACCCAATGTTGGTTTACGTCACTTCCTCCCTAATCCAAAGGTAAATGAATTAGTCCTAAGGATTTTTTTTTTTTCTCTACCACATAATCCTTCTAAGGTTTCACTGGAAAAGCTTAAAGTATTTATAGGGCCCTTTAATTTAACAGGGCTAGAATTTCAGGCTATCTTTACTGTGGCAAATACCACCACAGTATATTTCTTTTAGCCTCCCAGCTATTTTCTCACTGTCCTGACCTCCTTGGATTCTCACCTGTGCATGTTCAATTGTGGGGTCAGCTAAAGACTTGTTGAAAGGCTTTTTGTTTATTTGGGTTTTTCTATCATTAAATTCCCTCAATTTCTAGCTGTTTCCACTATTCTAAGGAATCTCCAAATGTTTATTCTTCCCAAGGAAATCGGGGTACAGTTTTCTGCTTGAGTTCATCCAAGGAACACAGCCAGATGGGCGAGTATCTTCAAGCAAAAAGATAGATGTGTAAATGTGTAATTTACCCAAAATTACTGGTTTCTTTCAGTCATTTGCCCAATTTGGCTACTCACTGGGGCCCTCAAAACAGTTGATTTTTACATTTTGCCTATAGTTTATCATTGTTATCTATGGGAAAGTTATTCCAATAAAACCTATTCTGTGATCAGTACTGGAATTCCACTTAAGGAATTTATTATCTAATCAGAGAGAAACTAATATATATTAAACAGTAAGGAAATAATTTTTATGGTTTGTGAACAGATGCTCTATTTTGTGAACCAGAGGACAGGAGAGCTTTGAAGGATTGGGCAGGTAGAATTGGCTTTCTGGAGAATATGTGTTGAGTTGAAAATTGACTGGTGAAGTCAGAATGTGGCCAGATGCTGTGGTGCATACCTGTAATCCCAATGGTTTGGGATGCTGAGGCAAGAAGATCAAGTTAGAATGTTTTTCACAAGTAAGAGGACATTCTAGTTAAGTCATCAAGATGGGTGTGAACATGGTTTGTTGTCAGGACAAGCTGACTTGTGTGCTTTTGGTTGGGAGTATGCACTTTGGCCAAAGTAGATGGTTAGATAGGTTGGGACCAGTTTATAGAGTACATGAGAATTTAGATTTGATTTTATAAAAAAGAGACGAAACCCTTTGAATGAGGGAGTCACACAATGAAAGATGAATCTGTTAACAGTTACAGAATAGGTAAAAATAGGCAAAGGTTATAATTCAATCCATTGGGCCAGTGCTTTGGTTCAGGCCTTAAGTGAAAAGGGTCTCTGTAAGGATGTCCATACATGAATAGAAAGGAAGAAAGTGATCTGAGAAGTAGAATAACAAAATGTAAAGAGTAATTAGCTATTTGGAAATTCAAGGGAGAGAGATATTTACTGTTTCCTTAATAATATACAATTTATTGTATTACAGTTAACAAAGATATTTGAGAACCTGATGTGTATAAAGAGCTGTAATAGGAAATGTGTGCATGCATGCCTGTGTTTGTGTATAGTTACATTTCCATTGATTTCTGTTTATATTGACCATTTTAGATGGTGTGACTGTTAAGAACATTGCCCTTTTCTGTTCTCTTAAAAAATATCAATGCTCATTAAAAATTATATTGCTCTTTAGGCTTTCAGTAAATTCTGATTGACTAAAGAACTGTTCTTTCCCATAATAGACACTATTGACGTGAAGTCATTCCTGCATTGCTTGATTTAAGTTGTAACTTAACCATATCTTTTCTTTTAGATTCTCTGACATTTTAGAAATGTATTTGGAAAAAATTCTCACTTCTGTAAGGGCAGTTTTCAGAACCCATATTTAATTTGAAGGCTACAGATGTAGGGCATATGGCCATAATTGATCTTGAATATGTTTTCATAAGAATTTTTTTAAATTTTATTTGTTCTTTTGAGTTATACATGACAGTAGAATGTATTTTGACATATCACACACACACATATAGAGAGAGTATGAATTCCCATTTTTGTGGTTGTACATGATGTGGAGTTACACTGGTCATGTATTCATATATGAACATAGGAAAGTTATGTCCAATTCTTTCTACTGTCTTTCCCATTTCCATCTCTTTCCCCTACTTTGCCCTATCCAATCCAGTGAACCCCTCCCCTCCCCTCCCCTCCCATTGTGAGTCAGCATCCACATACTAGAGAGAACACTGGGCCTTTGGTTTTTGGGGACTGGCTTATTTCACTTAGCATGTTAGTCTCCAATTTCATCGATTTACTGGCAAATGCCATGATTTCATTTTTTTCAGAAGAAATTTTTAAAGAAGACTTTGATTATGAGGATTGTCTATTGTCAGAAATCACCTAAGTTTTTCTAACCTGTATATAGCCAAGCACATAAATAATTGTTTTCTTTATTCTTTTTTTTTTCTTATCCTAAACTTATCTTTATAAAGAATCTATTCACTGGGGGCTGGGGTTGTGACTCAGCGGTAGAGCATTCGCCTAGTACATGGGAGGCCCTGGATTTGATCCTCAGCACCACATAAAAATAAATAAATAAAATAAAGGTATTATGTCCAAATACAACTAAAAAATAAATATTTTTTAAAAAGAATCTATTTATTGTATGCTAAGTATCTTAATAGTTCTCAAAATTAGTTTTCATATATTGTTCCAAAATTCATTATGTTCACTTTTCACAGATTTACTGTGTTTTAGCAAGAAATCATTTGAAATTGTCAATTTAACCTGTGTTCTCATTTAATTTTAGGTGACTGAGCTTGAATGTGTTAGTAGCCAAGCAAATGCAGTGCATACCCATAAGACAGAATTAAACCAGACAATACAAGAACTCGAAGAGACATTGAAAGTAAAGGAAGAGGTATTTGCCACCTTTCACTCAACTGTAACCCAGCTAACATGTGTGTTCTAAATATTAGAGTCTGTATCACATTTAAAGACGTTTTATGGACTAAAGTAAGGTTGTGGACGTTTTTTCCTCAGGATGAAATTTTTCTTGAGCATTATGAATGAATCTTGATCATTTTCTCCCATTCTTCTTTATGTTGTTATTATTTTTTTTATGTTGTTATTATAAAGTGTATTGAACTATGATGAGACACCCTGAGGGCCTATTGGCCCTCTGTATGAGCATTATATTCATACAATCAACTGAAACCTATTAGAGATTAAATAAATTTTTAAAAGCTATTGCTTTCTCTGGGTTTTTATCAAAAGCTTTAATTTTCTAGGAAAGAATTAAAACTCAAAGCTAAAAACAACTTTACAATGGGCAGATTGTTATTTCTAAGCGTTACTGTACCAAAGCTATCAAATCAGACTTGTTGCTTAAGATCATATTGTTCTAGACAACATAAATATAAAGATTAATTCTCCCTCTAAAGAAAGTCAGTAAAAAGGAATGCTTTTTAAATTATTGTTTTCTAAGAACTGAGATGATAATTTTGGGGAAAAATAAGGATCTTCCTTTCCTTGATAGTTTAAATGTTGTTGAAGACATTATTCTGCCTTTTCTAGGAAATAGAAAGATTAAAACAAGAAATTGATAATGCCAGAGAACTACAAGAACAGAGGGACTCTCTGACTCAGAAACTACAGGTGAGCTACAATAAAAATTTTAATTTTTTTCCACATAGAGGGCACCAGCCATTCTTTCACATAGTAATGACTTTTTCCCCAAGACTTCAGTTTGTAGATTTCAATCATTTTTCTTTTCCAGGACTTCTGATTCATACCAATTTTTGATTTTTCAAAAATTACTTGATAACATTATCAAGTGACCATTTATATGTTCATAGTAAGTTGTTTGAAATTTTTACTTTTAATATTGAAGATTACTGTGATTTTTTTTTTAAAAGATTGTTGAATGGATTTTATTCATTTTGGGAACTCCGCCTATTCTGTTTACACTGAATTAATGATTTGTGGATAACAACAATAATTGTGCCCTAAAGGAACACAAGTTGGGTTCTTTTTTCTCTTTTAATTAATTTTATTTCAATTTTCCTGCATAAATAATATGCTTCCTGATTCAGATTTACATACATATATATAAAGTATATCTGTGGTAGTCAGACACAGTAAGGAAAAATTTTGTAGTCTCCTAAATTTTAAAGTCTTCTCTTGCCAGCTGAAGTACTTTTCTTATACCTGTTTGGTTACCTGCCTCAGAGAAGGTTGGGGCCACGTTGGAGTGGAAGTAAATATATTTATAGTGAGGAATTTACATAAGGTGTCATAAGTGGGACTTGAAAGCCCAGGGTTGGAAGGAGACCTCATTATAATAAGAATGGACAACACTTATTGAGTCTTCCTAGGTACCAACACTGTGCCAAGCACTGAAGTTTTGCATTTAATCCATGTAACAATCAAAATCAGATAAAGAACCTGGGGCTTGGAAAAGTTAATTCATCCTACATATATACAAATGGTGGTAGTTAAATTCTAATGCCTGTGTCCTTGACCACCAAACTCACCAAATAGATTTGTTATATGAAATGAAATATTTTCCTCTGCCCTCCTCACACTGGTTTTCAGCAATATGAGAAAATGAGATTACTTGTTTTGGCTCATCCCTTTAAATCTTATTTCTATATTTTATTTGTCTATATAGAATAATGGTTCCCAATTGAGGCAGTTTTGCATCCCAGGGGATATTTAGCTATGGGTAGAGGTAATTTTTATTTTCTCAACTAAGGGACTGGTACTGACATCTAGTAAGCAAAGCCAGGGATGCTGCTAAACATAAGATTATATATATGGTTCAGAACATCAGTAGTGCTAAGGTTGAGGAACCCTGATGGAGAATTCCAATATAAAGCATGTAATCAGGGCTGGAAGAAAGAGTTTTGGAATTAAGTCTGCTTTTTCTTTTGGTTATTTTGGGATTTTAGGACTTGTTATGACTGAGTTGTATACTAAGCAGTTACACACATTCCCTTTAATTCTCACATTAGCATGTGAGGTAACCCCATTTCCAAAGAGAAGACAGCAGTTCAGAGGTGTCAACAAGTTGCATCAAAGCACTCTTACTACACTTGTTACTACAGAGTAACAAAGCATAGATTTTTTTCCCCAAAAAATCTCTGTTCTTTATGTACTTAACCACACTTCTTCAAGCAACAAGTACCCAAGCCATCTCTAATGATTCTTTTTAACATTTTGTCAATGTTAATTTTTGTCACACTTATATTGTTCCACTTATGAAAAAAACCCAAGGGATGATTTGTTCATTATCAGCCTTGTATGTTGATCGTTCTAAATGTGTTTCATCGTTTATTGAGCAGTAATTGAATTGTATAGCTGGCACCTGAAATAGTGAATCAGTTCTTAGCTATTCTTACACTGAATATCAAAAATTATTATCAAAACACAAACTACCTGGAATAGGACAGGGAAATTTTCAGAAAACTTGAAGATAAAAATCTGAAACACCAAGCCATAAGAATAACCTGTATTTTTTTCAAGTTAGAAGAAAATGCTTCCTTTGTAGCCTGGTCGTGTCCCACCTAAACATCTCCTGTGTATCCAGAGTTCTAGTCTGTTCGTAAGTTCAGTCTAGAAAATTGGGACCATTAAATTCCTTAGATGGTAGAGGAACTCCTGAAATTGCAGTATGTGGAATTTGATTTGGCAGTATGAATATGAATAGTAAGTTCATAGTTAAGGCTAAAGTAAGAATATTATGGACGGGGGTTGAGGCTCAGTGGCAGAGCGCTTGTCTGACACATGTGAGGTACTGGGTTCTATCCTCAGCACCACATAAAAATAAATAAATAAAATTAAAATATTTTTTTTAAAAATGTTATAATAGTTTTCAAATTTTTAAGCATTTGATATTGGGATATTTCTAAATATCAGTGTAATATGTACTCATTGTAAAAAATTTAGAATAATATACTTAGCAGGGAAAAAAAATCAATCATAATCTCTTCACCCTAAAGCAAAGTACCTGGCATTTCCTTTCCCCATACTTGTTTATAAAATTGTTACTTATTTACATAGCTTTCTTCCAACATTCCTACAGGATGGCAGCTTATGCTATTTCCAATGTTATGCTATAATAAATGATGTCATAATGAATCTTTTACATAAAGATTTGCCTTTTCTTTCTGATGATTTCTCCAAGATGAACTTTTAAAAGAGACTTTCTTGGTGTCGTGTTTTAAGATGTCTTTTGTTGAGAAATGTATATCTGGAAAGGCAGGGCACCTAGTGGTTATCAGTCTCTCCTCATCTTTACTATCTCATAGGAAAGGACTACCTTTGTGGGGAGCGGGGTGGTTTTGGTGCTAGGAACTGAACCTACAGTCTTGTGCATGGTGCATGCTAGGTAAGTACTCTACCATTGAGCTATTATGCCTCCAGCCATAGCTAACTTTTTTATTATTATTAATTTTTAATTATGAGTAAGAGTAAACAATTTTCCATATGCTCATGGTCATTTATCATCTTTCTGTACCTTGTGGACATCTGAGTACATTTTCACCTTAGAGAATTTGTAGTATTCTTGCCTAGAATTCTAAGTTCCAGATCTTCAAATAGATGACTTTTACTTGTAATTTAGATCTTGGTTCAGATTATTATTTCTCTGATTTGCCAATTTAAGCACTATCTTGCAGATCCTATCCCTTCAGTTTCAGTTTCTTGATAATATCACCATGTTTTATACTTGGTATACCAGTACTTATCACTATCTGAAATGACTTTGTTTACTTCTACTTTATTTCAAAACTTTTTATTTTGAAATAATTTCAGACTTATGGAAAAATTGCAAGAATAATGCAAAGTTTACTCATAGACCTTTGCTTATAATTCCCCAAATGTTAATTATTTTTGTCATACATGTTTTATCATTCTGGATCTCTCTTCCTCTCCTTACCTTGTTCTCCATCATATATGTATGTATGATTTCTTTTGAACCATTTTGATTATAAGTTGAACACTTTTTGGAGGGTGGGAGAGGTATACTGGAGATTTAACCCAGGTGTACTTTACCATTGAGCGACATCTCTAGCTCTTTTTATTTTTTATTTTGAGACAGGATCTCACTAAGTTGCTTAGAGCCTTGCAGAGTTGCTAGGCTGGCCTTGAACTTGGAGTCCTCCTGCCTCAACCTTTTGAGTTACTGGGATTACAGTCATGTGCCACTGTTCCTGGCCTGTGCACACTCTTACCTCTAAATACTTCAGTATTTTCTAAGAATAAAGATATTCTCATAGATAATCATCAAAAGTAAGAAATTATTTATCTATAAACTTTAGTCAAATTCCCATAATTATCCTAATAATCTCTATAACAAATTTTTAAAATTTTAAAAATTGTTTAAATTTTCTGGTTCTGAATTCATTCTAGGATCACATGTTATATTTGGTTGTCATGTTCATTATCTTTGGGTTCAAATGATCCCAGATTTGGCCAGTGAGACACTCTGCAATCTATCATCTGTGTCCTTTCGATATGGCAGTATCATTCTTTGAAGAACTTCATGTTGCAGCACAAGTAGATACTCCCAGCTCTGGAATCCATTTCTCCAAGGAGCCCTCCAAATTCCTTTAGCAAAGATTAGTATTTAGAAGCCAAGATCTGGGCACTAAATGTGCTTACTTTTTAGGTATCATTATTCTAGGCCCTCTTAGTAAACAACTGGAATTACATACATACTACATATCCATTCAGTAGCTATGTATATGCTTTTTTTTAAAAAAAAAGAAAAAACTGAAATTGTCTTTATAACCTCCCATTGTAATTCAATACTATGCAGTTCATTTTAGATTTGACCATTTCCATATTTTTAACTCCATTCTCCAATACAAGAAACCCGATTCCCACTATCTACAATATTATCTATAAAACTTGTTCAACCCTAGAAACCACAGAAGATAGTTTCTGAATTGCTATTTAAAACCAATGTAAAAACAAAACAAAATCTACTAACTAAAAATCAGTGTAATTGTCTTTAGCCTGCATGAAAAGTTAGTTGAGTTAGTTTTTCCATTCCCTCTCTTCAGTTAGTTGAGTTATTCATTTGTAATAGCTACATTAGTTTGTATTATTATATTCTACCTTTCTTGAATTATATTTGTATTAACTGAATATATAAAACATTCTATGACTCTAAAGTTAGAAGCATTCAAAATGATGTCTTCAGGTATCTTCATCCCCTCCAATCCTGTACACTGGTTTCACTCCTATCCTTCTCTCCCCATTCCCATCTACCCACTGTAGGTAACCAATCTCCTTAGTTCCTAGTTTGTCTTTTCTCTGTTTTTTCTTACACAAGCAAACAGATATATGTGCAAGGTTTTTATTTCCCTCTTTGGAGTTACACAAATAGTAATATACTCTATATTACTCTTCTATACTTCACCCTCCTTTTTTTTTTTTTGCCAAAAATATATCCTGGAAAATACTTACAAATTTATAGGGATCTTGTTTATTCTCTTTTATACCTGAATTGTACTTTATTTGTATATGTATGACAGTTTATTGAATCACAATTATGTGAAAACTTACTGGATATTCAGCATTCTGCAAAAATATTAAAATGAATAACATTGTGCATAGATACTTTGTTTTTGTTGGATGTGTATCTTCTG